CCCCATCCTTTATATTCTAGTTCCAGCTCATATTATCTAGCTCCCATCCTTTATATTCTAGTTCCAGCTAATATTATCTAGCCCCCATCCTTTATATTCTAGTTCCAGCTCATATTATCTAGCCCCCATCCTTTATATTCTAGTTCCAGCTCATATTATCTAGCCCCCATCCTTTATATTCTAGTTCCAGCTCATATTATCTAGCCCCCATCCTTTATATTCTAGTTCCAGCTCATATTATCAAGCCCCCATCCTGTATATTCTAGTTCCAGCTCATATTATCTAGCCCCCATCCTTTATATTATAGTTCCAGCTCATATTATCTAGCCCCCATCCTTTATATTTTAGTTCCAGCTAAGATTATCTAGCCCCCATCCATTATATTCTAGTTCCAGCTAATATTATCTAGCCCCCATCCTTTATATTCTAATTCAGCTGATATTATCTAGCCCCTATTCTTTAAATTTTAGTTCTAGCTAATATTATCTAGCCCCCATCCTTTATATTCTAGTTCCAGCTTATAGTATAAAGCCCCTATCCTTTATATTCTAGTTCCAGCTCATATTATCTAGCCCCAATCCTTTATATTCTGGTTCCAACTCATATTATTTAGCCACCATCCTTTATATTCTAGTTCCAGCTAATATTATCTAGCCACCATCCTTTATATTCTAGTTCCAGCTCATATTATCTAGCCCCCATTCTTTATATTCTAGTTCCAGCTAATATCATCTAGCCCTCATCCTTTATATTCTAGTTCCAGCTCATATTATCTAGCTCCCATCCTGTATATTATAGTTACAGCTAATATTATCTAGCTCCCATCCTTTATATTCTAGTTCCAGCTCATATTATCTAGTTCCCATCCTTTATATTCTAGTTCCAGCTCATATTATCTAGCCCCCATCCTTTATATTTTAGTTTCAGCTAATATTATCTAGCCCCCGTCCTTTATATTCTAGTTCCAGCTCATATTATCTAGCCCCCATTCTTTATATTCTTGTTCCAGCTAATATTATCTAGCTCCCATAATTTTTATTCAAGTTCCAGCTAATATTATCTAGCATCCATTCATTATATTCTAGTTCCAGCTCAGATTATCTAGCCTCCATTCATTATGTTCAAGTTCCAGCTTATATTATCTAGCCTCCATCCCGTATATTTTAGCTCCAGCTTATATTATCTAGCCCTCATCCTTTATAATATAGTTCCAGCTCATGTTATCTAGCCTCCATTCATTATATTCTAGTTTCAGCTAATATTATCTAGCCCCCATCCTTTATATTCTTGTTCCAGCTCATATTATCTAGCATCCATCCTTTATATTCTAGTTCCAGCTTATATTATCTAGCCCTCATCCTTTATATTCTAGTTCCAGCTCATATTATCTAGCCCCCATCCTTTATATTCTAGTTCATCTGATATTATCTAGCCACTTTCCATTTTATTCTAGTTCATCTGATATTATCTAGCCCCCATCCTTTATATTCTAGTTCCAGCTCATATTATCTAGCATCCATCCTTTATATTCTAGTTCCAGCTTATATTATCTAGCCCCCATCCTTTATATTCTAGTTCATCTGATATTATCTAGCCACTTTCCATTTTATTCTAGTTCATCTGATATTATCTAGCCCCCATCCTTTATATTCTAGTTCCAGCTCATATTATCTAGCATCCATCCTTTATATTCTAGTTCCAGCTTATATTATCTAGCCCTTATCCTTTATATTCTAGTTCCAGCTAATATTATCTACCCCCCATCCTTTATATTCTAGTTCCAGCTAATATTATCTAGCCACCATCCTGTACATTCTAGTTCCAGCTCATATTATCAACCATCCTTATATTCTAGTTCCAGCTAACATTATCTAGCCCCCATCCTTTATATTCTAGTTCCAGCTAATATTATCTAGCCACCATCCTGTACATTCTTGTTCCAGCTCATATCATCAACCATCCTTTATATTATAGTTCCAGCTCATATTATCTAGCTCCATCCTGTATATTCTAGTTCCAGCTCATATTATCCAGCCCCCATCCTGTATATTCTAGTTCCAGCTAATATTATCTAGCCCCCATCCTTTATATTCTAGTTCCAGCTCATAGTATCTAGCCCCCATCCTTTATATTCTAGTTCCAGCTCATATTATCTAGCCCCCATCCTTTATATTCTAGTTCATCTGATATTATCTAGCCACTATCCATTTTATTCTAGTTCATCTGATATTATTTAGCCCCCATCCTTTATATTCTAGTTCATCTGATATTATCTAGCCACTATCCATTTTATTCTAGTTCATCTGATATTATCTAGCCCCCATCCTTTATATCTAGTTCCAGCTAATATTATCTAGCCCCCATCCTGTATATTCTAGTTCCAGCTTATATTATCTAGCCCACATCCTTTATATTCTAGTTCCAGCTCTGATTATCTAGCCCCCACTTTATATTCTATTTGCAGCTATTATCTAGCCCCCATTCTTTATATTCTAGTTCCAGCTAATATTATCAACCATCCTTTATATTCTAGTTCCAGCTAATATTATCAAGCCCCCATCCTTTATATTCTAGTTCCAGCTTATATTATCTAGCCCCCATCCTTTATATTCTAGTTCCAGCTCATATCATCAACCATCCTTTATATTCTAGTTCCAGCTCATGTTATTTAGCCCCATCTTTTATATTCTAGTTCCAGCTATATTATCTAGCCCCCATCCTTTATATTCTAGTTCCAGCTCATATTATCTAGCCCCCATCCATTATATTCTAGTTCATCCTTTATATTCTAGTTCCATATTATCTAGCCCCCATCCTTTATATTCTAGTTCCAGCTCATATTATCTAGCCCCCATCATTTATATTCTAGTTCCAGCTCATGTTATTTAGCCTCCATCCTTTATATTCTAGTTCCAGCTCATATTATTTAGCCCCATCTTTTATTTTAGTTATAAAACGACAAACAATCTTTTTTGAAACGTAGTTGCAATATAATGACTTTTCGTCTGTAACAAAATAAAATGACCAAAAACATTGAAAATGTTTTCCGAAATGGATAAATTACGATTTTAATATGATTTTAATATACTCATTATGTGCTGTCTGAAGTAATAGGAGAGAAATATAGAAATTTAATTTCCCACAAATATTTTTTATTTTCAGAAACAAAAATTTATTAAAATCCTGTATTTGTCCGCTTTACGCTTAAATATTAAAAAGATTGTTTATGGGGTTGGGTAACGGGGCAATTTTTTTTCAAGATAATCTTGAATAACAAAAATAAATATTAACTTTCAAGTTTGAGCTCCTTCATGCTTTCTCATCTCTAAACAAATCTCAAAATCTTTATAAAAATTTTGAATTTAATTTCCGGTTCAAAATATGAGGTGTGCTAGACTTGAGGAAAAAAATTGAAATGTATCTGTTAAACGAAAATTTTAAGAATCCAAACAATTTTAAAAATAATATAGCACTAAAAAATTCCTTGTCTTTATTTTTGTCCCAATAGAATATAATATTAGTTGTAACTAGAATATAAAGGATGGGGGCTAGATAATATGAGCTGGACCTAGAATATAAAGGATGGGGGCTAGATAATATTAGCTGGAACTAGAATATAATGAATGGATGCTAGATAATATGAGCTGGAACTAGAATATAAAGGATCGGGGCTAGATAATATGAGCTGGAACTAGAATATAAAGGATGGGGGCTAGATAATATGAGTTGGAACTAGAATATAAAGTATGGGGGCTAGATAATATTAGCTGGAACTAGAATATAAAGGATGGGGGCTAGATAATATGAGCTGGAACTAGAATATAAAAGATGGGGGCTAGATAATATTAGCTGGAACTAGAATATAAAGGATGGGGGCTAGATAATATGAGCTGGAACTAGAATATAAAGGATGAGGGCTAGATAATATAAGCTGGAACTAGAATATAAAGGATGGGGGCTAGATAATATTAGCTTGAACTAGAATATAAAGGATGGGGGCTAGATAATATCAGCTGAATTAGAATATACGTGATGGGGGCTAGATAATATGAGCTGGAACTAGAATATAAAGGATGGGGGCTACGTAATATGAGTTGGAACTAGAATTCATTGTTGCAAGACCATTACTGTTTTTAATTCTAATTATGAAGAACAAATCCCTCAAGCAAAATCTTAGGTTATACGAACATACAGAGAGATGCGCGTATTAGAAAGCAACAAACTTAATGCGTTATATCTAAATTTTGTTAATTATGAAGAAAATTGTTCGGGATGGATCCTACATTTTCCACATATTCATACCATTCTATAAACAACATTCTCGTAATTTTGAAAACCTTTCAGAAAATTCGATAATACGAACAGACGATATGTGTTTTAACAGTTTCTGTTGTTTAAGTAATCTACATGTTTTAGTCATATTAAATAAGCATTTGTTAATTATTTGCAAGAAAAAATACACGTTCTCTTTTTCAATGCAGGTAACATTATATCTTGACGACGAAAATATTTTCTATGTTAACAATAGAGAATCCGGCCTCAACAAAACATGACGTTTTTATCATAAACATACACGGGTTAAATATTTGGAAAATAAAATTATTTGGAACACAATAATAACTACCGGACATGTTTACGTTAATGTGACAACAAGAAAACTGTGGAATAAGAATATCAAGTAAATCGGTTTACTAGTAGCTTCTTAAACCACAGAGACTGTTCATTTAGTCTGACAGCTGTTTTCCTAGTCTAGAATTGTCTGGTTCTCATTTTATAAATCTTTAATAATTTCCAAGAAACCTCAAGATTTTCAAACTAAAAAGAAATTAATGGCTCAAACTTGCAACCTCTTTAAAAAAAATAATAATAGAAATAAAAATTAAAGAAAAGACTTCCATGATAATCCAAGCATAGTTCTATACAGATGATACATTGATGTATACATGTTAAAGACAACGGCAGATGATGGAGACAGAGTTTGCTGCAAAAAAAGCATCACACAAGATAGAAAATATTTTTATTACTGAGAATTTTGATCTATTTGCCAATATTTTGCTATGTGTATTGTAAGCAAATTAAAATAAATATTGTTATTGCTCTATTTTCAAAATGAATTCTTATTTATTTTTCTTGAGCTTCTTCATCAATGCCTCCTCCCGTATCTGTGATAGTGCTGCCAGTGTTAGCTGTCCCTGTAATCCAACCCAGCCAAGTAAACTATAGCAAAATAAACAAGTTTATATAAAGTTGATAAATCCTAGAGTTTGTAACCACTAGTAAATGGTAAGATTATCTATGTTCAATTTAAAATAGGATTTTAATGGAGCTTTAAAAATGTTGTTTAATCTTAGATAGATATGAAATTAAAATACAAAAAAAGATACATTTAATTATTTGAAAGATTTAGATACTTTGTATATATCCAAATTAGAGATTATACATTTTTATAAATAACAATTAATGCATCTTTATTTTATAATTATATGTTTAAATAAAAAAAATTGTTGCATAAGAATTGTGTGTTATTAATTTAATGAATTATAAATCAGGATATAATTACTTGACTGCTATATACACCAGATCATGAGGGAAGTATCCTGTTGAGATGGATTCTATTCCTAGTGTTGCCAGAGCAGATCTATAGATAAATATTCAATATAAAACATTGATTTATTTATTAAAATGGAGGATTTATTACCGTGTTAAATGACTAAAGTTTAACCCAATTTCATTGTTACTAGGAAAGGACAAATTGAAGTAAACTTTAAGTAAACCTCTTCTTGTCCTTCTTCTTTAAAAAAAACTAAATTCAAAATTCTCTGCAGCTTTGTTCCTTGGTAGGAGGAAGAATGCAGTTGTGTGTGTACTGTGTATTATTGTTGTATTCTAAACCTAAACCATATAAATATACCTCACATATTGTTGTGATTTAGCTACAAAGAATGCAGTTGTGTGTGTTCTGTGTATTATTGCTGTATTCCTAAACCTAAACTATATAAACATACCCCACATATTGTTGTGGTTTAGCAACAAAGAATGCAGTTGTGTGTGTTCTGTGTATTATTGTTGTATCCTAAACCTAAACCATATAAATTTACCTCACATATTGTTGTGGTTTAGCTACAAAGAATGCAGTTGTGTGTGTACTGTGTATTATTATTGTATCCTAAACCTAAACTATATAAATATACCTCACATATTGTTGTGGTTTAGCTACAAAGAATGCAGTTGTGTGTGTACTGTGTATTATTGTTGTATCCTAAACCTAAACTATATAAATATACCTCACATATTGTTGTGGTGTAGCTACAAAGAATGATGGTTCTTCAACTTTTGACCTGAACGATGAACAATAATATTATTCTAACATTTTTGTTTTTATTAATTTTATTTATATATTATATATCTGTTGGTATTATTTGCAAAACAAAGTTTTATATTGTGCTTTAAATGGTTAATTTATATGTAATATTTTACTTACATATTACTAACAACAAAACCTGGAGCTAACGCTTGAACAATTATTCCTTTACTTCTATACTCGATCTGCAATATTAAATATATTTACGTAATTAACAATGAATGAAGGTAAGAAATAAGAGATTAAGATGAAAAAATCCCGTAAACACAAAAGTTGAGACAACTTCAGTTTTTAGAGACAACTGAACGGGATTTATTCAGTATTGTTTTCTCAAATTCCTGGTAACCTTCAGATGTAGACCCTCATATTTATGAAAGCTATGCATGTAGTCATAAAACTATTATCTATCCTTTGTGGTTAAGCAAGATGGCATCAAAAGATACTGTTAAGCGAGAAGCATTACATTGTTAAGAGTTTTGTGGACAAATATTTATTTGGTTTCTTCCAATTCAATGTAATTTTCTTTGTGGTGGAGTGTGGACCCTATTATTAGATATCATAATAAAAAATCATTCTGAACTCGTTAATTTGTACCTCTAAATCCTGACTGAATTGTCTAACAAAAGCTTTACAAGCTGAGTATACGGAGAATAGAGGTGAGGTCTGTAGAGCAGAAAGAGAACTAAGATTTATCACAGCTCCTCGTTTCCTAAATATAATTAAATAGACCCTTTATTACCAGTATTCGATCAGGCTCACGTCGATCCTTTACCCAAAATAGTAATTTTACCTTTCTACCATTCCGGGGAGAACTGCTAGAGTTACATTTATAACTGAAGACACATTCACACTCACCATATCCCTGAAATTAGTCAAGTCATGTGTGTACAATAATAACATTCAGGGTTACCCACAAAAGATGAGACTTCAGAGACGACTGTACGAAACATATTCTGTCTGTTTACTTAAACTTATGGTTCTCTGCATCTGTGAACTGGATTCTCTCTTTGCCAAATCATTAGATAAGCCAGAAAGACAGACAACTTAATTTAACCTTGTAATCGTCATATTTTTTCAGAGTTTCATGTCGTTTTATCAGTCTCATTCTTTGTGGGTAACCCTGAACGTATGTAATACACATACGTAAATTCTAATTATAGTCGTAACTTCAAGTGACTTTTCTATTCACAAGAGTACCCATAAAATCTTGTCTAAACAATATTTTCAAAGATATTATCGTTCAATTCTTACAACAATCTCTCTATTGTGATGTTTAGTTGGTGAGAACAGAAGAAATGTGCATGTTCATTTTGTAAAGAAACCACAATAAAACATAATTCTATATTTATTTATTCTATTTTCTACGTGGAAAGGGTACAGTTGTGAATTGGACCTACCACTCTCTGTATAAATGTAGGGTCGCTTGAAATTATGTTTACAGTCCCTTCGACAATACATGTATTTAAACACTTGTCAGGGTTAATCAGAACACGTTAAGCACCTAAGGATATTTTGCTTTGCACAAATGATAGTTCTGGTCTTGAATATTTCTTAAACATTTCATTATATCTGTGGTCATTTTTTGCATGCGTCATAAGTTTACAGAATTTTTGGTTTTAGAGTTTTTGTCACAAATCTTTCCAACCTAAGGGTATAAAACTTTGATATTTTAAACTTAGACTATTTGATCTAACAGAATTCATAGTTTGAAATATCAAAGGTTTACGATACCAGGTTGCTAAGATATAAAGAAAGATAAAGATATTAAAGTTTGTGGCGAAACCTCTTTTCCTTCTCAAAGTATCTTATTCATACAGTGTTGCACAGTACGTGCAAGCTTTTATAGGACCGATCTGAACAGGCTTGAACCTCAATATATGAGGTGAAATTGTCTGTCAAAAAAGTTATAGCACTGCATAATTAAATGATAGTTTTATTTATAGTTATTTATGCCTAAGTAACTTCCCAACTTCCTATTATACCCCATAAATATGAATTTTGTATTGTAATGAAATATACCTTGAGACTTGAGCACAGTTTTCAATATCTAGAAAATATTCAGGATGTTCATATCCCATCCCAACATTGTTGATCAGCAGACCAATATCTCCTTTTATATCCTGAAACAATTTATAAGTATATTTTTGTCATGCATTAGCGGATTTTTTAACATCAGTTATATTGGAAAAGAAAGATGTGAAATGCGTTTAAAGTTTTAATTTATAGTTCAAAACTTTGAAACTTCTGTGGTCTGTACATCAGTTTACAATATATTATTTGATAAAGAATTACCATTATGCCATATTGTATCTTCTCTAGAACTGTGTCAGCTTGAGTAAAATCTACAGGAATTATTATTGTTCTGATATTGAACCTTCGCTCAAGCTTCTCAGCTAAATCCTAAACAAATAAATAAACAGGGCTACTCACAAAGTTGACACTTTTATGACGACCTGTAACTCATTCAAGTAACTATAAGCATAAATTTCAAGTGAGCTTCCATTCTATGAAGTTCATTTCAGATTGACAACGATACCCCTTGAGGGAGATATTGATCCTTAAGTAAAACTTTTTTTTGTGCGAGAATCAACTTTAAATAAATTTTGAATAAAAGGATGTATTTTCAATTTTTTTGAATTTTTATCAAAATTATAAATATGTAACCTCTAGTTTGCTTTGATTTCTACTAACTAGAACTATATTCATTCCTCTGCTCGCCAGCTCTTCTACAAATCCTTTCCCTATTCCGTGGGTAGCGCCGGTCACAACAGCCCAGTCACCTAGTGTAGTCACATCCACAGCACAACGAACAAACTGATAAAAAAGATGATTTTACATTAATCGTAACGGTAAATTATCGTATCCATAGTAAAACATTGTTTGTAAAAAAATGTATGAGCTGTTTCAATTACAAAAAATAATTCATCCTGAGCTGGAAACTTTAGAATTATGGATATCGAGATCAATGCTAAATCTCATCTTTTTAGTCCCAAGATTAATTTTATCTTTAGTCGGGTCGGCTCAAAATATTGTTATCCAAAAAGAGCAGGATTAAGCAGAAATCATGTTTCCACAGTGGATATTCAGATTGAGCGATCGGGATTTAAGGCATTCAATTCTAAATTTGTCAGCTTAGAGCTGAAAACTTTAGATTGGGACATCCTTAATCCCGATCGATTATTTAGTCCGGAGATTAAGAACAAGCAAGAAGAGAACAAGCATCATTTAATCTGGAGATTAAGAAAAAGAGGAGATCAAGCATTAATCTCGATATCCACCATTCTAAAGTTTTCGGCTCTGGAAACATATACAAACGAATGAAAGAATCAGAAAAAACAAACAAAATTATAAAATTACCTTTGACAAGTATTTAAACATATGGTTAGCTGAATAAATGCATGACAAAACTCCGATAACCGTGAATAAGATCATCAATTTCTGAATAAAAAAGAAAATATGAGATATGAAACAAGAACAGGATGAATATCCAGGGTTACCCACAAAAGATGGAACTTAATAGACGATTGTACGAAATTTATACTATCTGTTTTCTTATATTTAGAATTTCCAATCTCTGTAAATTTTTTATCTTTGAGAAATATTTAAAGATATACCTTTAAATAACTAAATTCAAGGCAGAAGTCTCAATTAAGAGTTTCAGGTCGTCTTTACAATTTCATCCTTTGTGGTTATCCCTGTATAATCTTTATGAAAGATACCTGACAGTTCTGAACTAAACTTATCGCACTTTGAATAGCCAAAGTCAGTTCACTGAGAGAATCCATTTTCACGTGTGAATCCAAGTGGAAAATTAATTTTGCGAATTTTTGTTAAATTGTTCGCGGATTTTTCATGTTAGAAACTGAAATTTGAAGTAAAATTTTTAATCGAAATTACGATTTGAATATATTGAGTAGTTAAATTTCACGAATAACGTGCAATGGAGTTTCCCAATAAAACAATTCACAACTTAAACACTGAAAATTATAGAGTTAGAACTTAAAAAAAGATAACGAAAGCATTTCGTATCATAACCATCAAAAAAATGTTTCTTATTTGAGATTTGACACTTGGCAGTCTTTAAATTTTCCATAGCGTTTATATAAACAAGATTTACTCCATACAATGCCTCTGTTTATCCGGTGCTGAAAACTTTAGAATGGGATATCATTAATCCCGATCGGTTAATTTATCTGAAGATTAATAACAGGAGGAGAATAAGCATTATTTAATCTGGAGATTAAGAAAAAGAGGAGATCAAGCATTGATTTCGATATCCACCATTCTAAAGTTTACAGCTCTGCACTTTCAGTACTTTCATTATTATTTCAGTGCATTAATTATTATTCTCTCAGTAGTGTATCCATTTCCCTTTTGTATATTTTTTATTACTTTTTATTACTATCAGTATCAGTATTCAGTACATCCATAATCAAGCTTAGCAAATCAAAGTGAATTCATTTTTCAGTTAAACCCAGAAGTTTGGAGATATCTGAGGAATTTATAAAATGTCGTATTCTTAGCATTAGCAACGTCTTTTTTTACTAATCTATTTGCCGACGATACTAGTTTTCTAAAATCATCTCCACATATCGAAACTTTAGTAATTGATGCCAACTTTGAACTAAAAAAGGCAGCTGTATGATTTCTGGCAAACCGTTTAACATTAAATGTCTCCAAAACAAAGTTTATGATATTTATAGTAGTAAAATACAATTGAAAAATTTGTAATTTCTTTTGATGTCTCCTATCCGAATTAAAATTCAAGAAATTAGAAAACAAAAAAAGAATGTGAAGAAACCACATGAACATATTGGTATCTAAAAATTGCAGGTAACTAAAAAACTGCCTGACCCCATTCATGAAAACGGGTTTCTGATTCGTTACATTATCATTATCACTGAATGCAAGGTTTAAATGCAAGGAAAGTTAATTGCAGTTGCGTACATATTGAAACCAGTTCTCTCTGGGTGGAATATTTGTAAACAAGAATAGATGCATCAGTGTTCGTTTAGTATCCGAGGAGGTTAAAACATTAAATTTTGATAATTTTGAAAATTCACATGATAGTTTCCGGTGACCAGAATATTTCAGTGATTTTTTATGTGAAAGATGGATACCATGTCAGGCTTCGACACCCATCTTGTGTTTACATTACCGCCCAGAGACAGTACACTACAGTACAAAAGATGCGTACATCTCTGAATTAACTTGCCTTGCATTATAACCTTGACGGTATGTAACTTCTGAGTTTTATTACGATACTGTACTGCCTAAAATTTTTGGCTCTACGTGCACACCTTTTTTTACAACACTTAACTTCATCATGAAAAAGCAGAAAACCTAGTTACTTTTGTTACATTACAACTCCGCTCCCCTCCCTCCCCACTGAAAATAATGCATGAAATAAGAAACAAGTAAAAATTTGCGAGAGAAAGCTCCCCTTGTAATAAAAAGGTTGAATACAAGAGAACGGAATGAAGGCAAATCTTGTACACTAGAGCCCTTCATACTCTTCAACAAAAGATTGCTAAGAAGATTTTAAAAAGCTTTAAAAGTAACATTTTTAGGATACCTTTTCCTGATTGTCACAGTGGCTCTTTTTCTCCATTTTACTGGGTTTAACAACTTTTTCACATCTTCCCTTTCCCCGCTATCTTCTAATCAAGATTTGTAAGATTCACTGGACAATGTGTGCATGTCGGGGGGTTGTATTGCTCCTTCTTTTTATTGCTTCGAATATTTATAGATCGTGTATGTCCCAAAAAACATGACAGTTGTAAGATGACTTGAAGGTCGTCTTTGAATTTTGTCAAATTTTGGACATCTAGTCGTAAACCTAATTATAGAAGTCAAGGGTGTAATGCAAGGAAAGTTAATTGCGGTCATGTATACTCTGCGTACATATTGAAACCAGTTCTCTTTGGGCGGAATTTTTAAACAAGAATGGGCGCATCAGTCTTCGTTTAGTATCCGAGGAGGTTAAAAGCATTAAATTTTGATAATTTTGATAATTCACTTAATAGTTTCCTCTGACCAGTATATTTCATTGATTTGACATCCGTCTTGTATTTACATTCCCGCCCAGAGACAGTACACTGCAGTACAAAAGATGTGTACACTTCTGAAATAACTTTCCTTGCATTACATCCTTGTTAGAAGTAAAGTTTATGAGGTAATATTCACAAAAAACTCCTAGTCCTGGCATTTCCAATGTGTTTTAAATACTACTAGCAATTTTGTCTAGATTTCGACAACTTTAAACTTATTTAAAAAATGAAATCTGAACGAACTGTTTTGTATCCCCGGCAATATTGACAGCAAAAAAGAGAAAACATTCTTATAATTGCAAGTTTAGGAGAATTTTGTAATTATTAAGTTTCAAGAATCACATCTTCAAAAGTAGGTTGACGATTGAACGTAAATGATTTCAAAGATTAAAGACGAACTGTTATGTTTCGTGTGCACATCCTGTATATAAATCGTGAAATCGGGAAATGGTGTAGATACAATAATCAGCCCAATAATTAACAAACTTGGTGACCGTATACAAAAAGAAATATGACAGTGTCAACATACTAATAATTTGTTTTTATACTAAGAAATGTTTTTACATCTGTTTATTTGCTAAATAGACATTTCAACAATCTTTGATGATTTAACCCTTCAAAGGTAAGGGGGTCTGAATCAATGTGTTGACTGGGAGTGGGGCCTTCGAGAATAGGTATAGGGTTAAAATGTATGTTCACATCCAAATTTTCAAGGCCAGCTCAATGAAAAAAAATTAGATCGATATCTTTTATAGTTTGGGTGCTAGGGAGGGTTGAAAAATATGCCAAAAAAAGGTAAAAGAGTGTAAAAAAAATATTTTTTGTTAAAAACCAATATGAAAGTGTGCCACATGTTTCTACGTCTATTTTTCCAGGGCTTTACAAAAAGAAAGGTTTTAGATCGGTAGCTTTAGTCATAAAAAGGTTATGTACCCTATGCATAAAAAACTTTACAAAAAATCCTTCAAATTTCTATCTATTAAAAGTAAAAAAAAATCATGGGGATAGTGTCAAAACGAGAGTGCTAGGGAAAAAAAACTGGAGGGTGAATATTGGTTTACTAGTAGTTTAAAAATCTTCCTATTAAAAGGTTCTATGTACGTAACGCTACACAATTGCTTAGTTACATTAGAGTTAGAATTACATAACTTATTTTAATCAGTTTTCTTCCTATACCAACGTTTTAAGGCTACAAAGTTTTAATTTATTTATTGTGTTAATTTCCCTCCCCTCTTCTCTGCCTTCCCTCCCTCCACTACTCCACCACCTCCACCCCTCCTCCCGGCCCTTTGTACCTGAATTCATCTGAATAGGACCTTTAAACAGTTCGGATTTCTGACCCAAAACCTGCTCCAACTTTCCCTTTCAAAAACATTTGAATTCTACGCGGGCGAGAAACTAGAGACTCTACGGTGTGCTGGAAGCCGGAAAAGTGAGCAGACTTCTCAGTACGATGTCTCTCTTCCGCGCGAAGGGGTCTCTGTGAATTATGGGGATTATGCCTTATCTAATACTAGCTTGGGATTGCCTAGAAACGTACACTTAACTTAGAATTTTGCTTGGAAATTCGAAACCAAGCAGAAACCATCTTTGTAACTTAAAATTTGAATAAGTTCGGACAATTATAAACATCCATAACGTCCCTTTCTTGTTGTCAACGAGGTCCCACAAAAAAATTGGGCCCGATCGTTTAAGCCGTTTTGAAGTTTATTGGATACAAAGAAACAGCCAAACAAACAGACAAGCAAAGTTTAAAATTAGACTAGGCATTTAGGGCGTTTCGCGCCCGTTTTTAATTGAATTGTGAACATGTTCTCTTTGTATACATTGTAAAACAAAAACAACTGCGTTTTGTTCAAAATTAGGACTAAATATAGAAAAGCAACTCGTATAATTCACAGAAAAAGCTCTATCAAAACAACATTCTTATTGTTTTAGCATTATATTCTTTTGTGCTTTTATGTTATGTATTGTTTTTCTGTTATTCTGTTAAAAATTTGTATCTTTAAAAGCATTAGTTTCCGTAGCGTTTTTCGTTTAGCAAAACTGAGAAATTTAATTTTTAATGCAGATCTAGAGTATCTTTTGGTGCAATTTTGACTACATAAGGGGGGGGGGGGTTAGGTGATATAGGTTAAATCCAGTGAGGAGTCGTGTCACGATTATCGATATGGTTCTGTATCATCTTCATATGTACAGTGAGAAGGATCATTATTAAGAAACATAAGAGTTCTTTCTTTTCTGAACATTTTAAAATGTTGACCTACTTTAGATTTTCAATCATACAAAAAAAAAAATTTCAACCTTTTAAAGGAAAAACTAGGGTTGATACTCTTTTTGACAGTTCTTATATAATTTTTGTTAAAATTTACTTAAACTTTGATTTTTTCATAAAACACCAAAATTGTATCGAAATGTTTCTTATTCCATGATTTTAAAATCAATCAGACAAAATTAAATAAAATCAAGAAAATGTAGCACTGAAACTGGTAACTGGTGAGATGATATCATTAGTCAAATTAGCATTGGAATTAAGGACTTATCAGTTATGGCACTTCTAATTACACCATAATACCTCTCAATTATTCATGTTAATTACTATCTTCAGAACTAGTGATAGATGGATAGATAAGTGATAAAAAGTGATTTGTGAGTGATTGTAAACTAAGAGATTTCGTGACCAGTGAAAATTAAAAAACTAGAGGTAAACAACAAGTTTAAAAAAAAACAAAAGCTTAATTCCATTCAGCTTTTATATCTTTTAGACCATTAATGAAAGTA